AATGACCAGCACACGCTCAGCGGGCACCTGCAACGCAGCATGGGTAGGGGCAGCAACACGCGCAGAGTGGGGCCGCACCACGAGGCAAGAGGACCATGCAGCAGGCAGGCAGGCAGCACTCGCTGGGCGGGCCGCTGCCCTGGTGTGCGGGAGCGGCCAGGCGAAAGAGCAGACGCACAGGAAGGGGAGAGGCGGTGCGGGCGGGCAGTGCAGCAGGCGAAGCAGCCACAGCGGGCACAGCGGGCATGCAGGCAGGTGCAGCAGGCACAGCGGGCACAGCGGGCAGGCGGGCGCACCCGGTAGAACCGTGCCAGGCGCCCCACCGCCTCTCCAGAGACGTTCATGAAGCTGCGGGGTGGGAGGTGAGTGTGTGTGTAGAGAGAGCAACGAAGGGCCAGCGGGTGGGGCGGCCGGCAGGCGCCCCATGCAGGCGCCGCGCCGCCGCAATCAATGCAGCACAAACCAACCAGCTCAGGGTGTGGGGACCACCCTACCCCCTGCTCACGTCATGGGCTTCACCAGCAGCACCTTCTTGCCGGCAAACCGGCCGCGCCCCACCACCGCCGTCTCCTGCAGCCGGTTGACCGCGATGCCTTCCTGCCGCGCCAGCTGGTCAACGGCCATGAAGCCGACGTTGTGGCGTGTGCTCTCGTAGCGGGGCCCCGGGTTGCCCAGGCCGCACACCATCCACAGATCTGGGTCCTCCTCGCCGGGCCGGTCGATGGAGGCTTTGCCGGCCTTGGTCTTGGCAGCGGCGGCAGCGGCGGCGCCACGCCGGCCCAGCGGCGGCGGCAGCAGCGAGAGGGCCTGGCCCATCGGGCCGCCGCTGGCGCCGGCGGGTGTGGGCTGGAGGTGCGGGCGGAGGGAGATGGCTGCGAGGCGCAGAGCGCGCACTGGCTGGGAGAGGCTGGCGCCCAGCGCGGCTCTCATGCCACTGCCGTGTGCGCTGGGGAGGCTGTGGTGAGGGCTGGGTATGCGCCGCTGGCTGCATTGCGCATTATGCATGGCCACCGCGGGTACAGGTGGGCAGCGGCACTACGGCCACCCGCCCGCCCACCCTGTCGGCGGCGTTGATGTGCTTGGCAGGACATGTCAAAATGTGTTTGCAGTGCTTCAAATCAAAAGGAATCAAAAATCTGACCAATCAAAAGGATAAGGATCATTATGCAAAGGGCGCTCCAGCTGCTGCTGCTGCATGGATGCGCCTCGCTACTCCTGCGCCTTCCACCGACCACCACGCGAGGGAGGGCGACCTGGCTGCCCACCCTGCTGCTACTGATCAGCACCAGCGCAAAGGCTGCCCACTCGGGTGGGAGCACCTGCTGCTGCTGCACCAGCCCGAACCAGGGCGCAGGAGGGGGCCCAGGCCGCTCAGCCCTGCCCCCACCGCCGCCGCTCACTCTGCGGGCTGCTGCACTAGCACCAGGGTGCAGGAGGGGGGCAGGCTGAGGTAGATGCGGCCGTCATACTCCTGCACCACATCGTTGCTGCGCCACTGCGGGTCGCCGCCATAGGCTGAGTCCTGTGGAGGGAGGGAGGGAGGAAGAGGAAGGCGGGGCAGGGGCAAGGGAGGTGGGTGAGTTGCGTGGGCGGGGTCGGGTGACAGAATTTCTTCTTCACAATGAATAGAAGAACCAGTCTTTTCTTTCTTTTGCTGTTCTAATATGTGAAGGACACCGCTCCCAGCCCGCGAGAAGAGGGAGGGACACAGCAAGGGGATGCGGGCAGGGCGAGGAGAGCGCAGGGGGTGCGGGGGCCGCGACCAGGAAGCAGCACAGCAGAGCAGGCAAGGCAGCTCGGTCGGGGCCCGCTGGCCGCCCCGCGCCCAGCTCCGTTGCGGGGGTGCTGCCCCTGCCGGCAGCGCACACCCGTGCCGCCCTGCCCACCTGCGAGCAGTAGACCTGCTTGAAGGTGCCGCCGCCGCCCACCCACAGCCCATAGTCGCCCTCCTGCCACCGCTGCCGCGCCGCGTTCACCACCACCACCACGCGCGTCTCGCCCGCGGAGCAGCGCTCGTACCTGCAGGGGGGAGCGGGACCGACGTGTGTGTGTGTGTGTGTGCGCGCGCGCGCTACATGTGTGGGTGTGAGATTGAGGGTGTGAGTAAGGGGCATTGCCAGCCAGCCGGCCACACCGTTCGCCAACCAGCAACCCCCTGCGCCTCTCCTGGCCTGGAGGTGCCCGCACCCATTGCATACGAGGCCCTGCTCGCTCCATCAACCCTCCCTCCCTGTCCTCGTGGCTGCAGTGGGCCCAGCCACCACCTCCTCTCCATGCTGTTGCCCTCCGCTCCTCTCCTCCCCGCAGCCACCACTCTCCCCACGACCCCGTTCTTTTATTCTTTCTTCCCTCCACCCAGCTCACCCCATGACGCCGTTCTTTCTATCCTCGTGGATGCAGTTGGCCCAGCCGTAGCGCAGCGCGGGGTAGCTCGCCCGCAAGCGGTTGGCGTCCCCCACCGCCGCCATCATGCCCCGCCCTGCGCGGTCAGTTGCGCACACACCGTGCAGGAGCTTGAACCTTGGTGAAACGGGGCGGGTGCAGGCAGGCGGCGCAGGCGGCGGCAGCGGCACCTCGGCAGGAGGAGCCGGCAGAAGCCTTGCACAACACCCGCCCACCCACCGCCGCCCCTGAAACAACACATTCCCATGCCACACAGGCAGGACAGCGCCGCCACCCACCTATGTCGTCCTCGGCGTTGTCCCACTGCAGGCGGTGGTGCTCGTCGTTGTGCCACCAGCCGCTCTGGGCAAACTCTGCAGGGTGGCAGGGGTGGGGAGGGGCGCAGGAGTGGGGTGGAGCGGCGACCAGCTCGCCCCAGCTACCCGTAGCTGCACAGCGCCGCTGCCGCCGCCTCCCTTCCTGCCTGCTCCGCACTTGCCAAGGTCAGGCCAGGGGCAAGGCGGCATGCCGGCAGCAGCCCTGAAGCCCACATCCACATGCACACACACATACACACAAACACAAACACATGCACACGCCACACGCGCACCTGTTCCCATGAACAGCATGGGCAGCCCAGCGGCAGCGACGTTGGCCGCATACCACAGGCGCGCGCAGGCGGCGGCGTTGGGGTCGGTGCGCCCGCCGCAGAACTGGTCCACGGCGTACCTGCAGGCAGGGTGGTGGTGGTGGTGGTGGCAGGAGTGAGGGAGGTGGCAATGTGGCAGCGGCAGGGGAGAGGGTGTTGGCGGTAGCAGCGGCAGGCAGAGAGAGGTGGTGGTGGCAGCGGCAGATAGAGAGAGGTGGCAGCGGCAGGAGGGCGTGTGTGTGGGGTGGTGGGGCCAGCTGGTGGTGGTGTGGTGACTTGGTGATAATGATGGTCGTGATGATGGTGTGCAGGGTGGTGTATGTGGTGTATGTATGCATGCGTGCATGTTTGGGTTAGGAGGATCCGCCTGGGTGAGCCAGAAAAAGGCCAGGCGGCGTGCCGCAGCAAGGGGCGCTGCTGGCAGAGGGTGGCACAGGGAGGCAGGCCCAGCCAGGCGATGCGAGTCGGCAGCGGCGACTGCTGCACGGCCCAGCCGCCGGGCCCACCTGTGGTGGCCGCCCACGGGCGCATAATCCTGATACCAGCCGCCATTGCGCTGGCACCCCACCTGCACACGGCAGTACGCGGGCGGCAGCAGCAACGGGGTCAGGGCTCCCGCTGCACGGCGCCAGCTGCACGTGGGCTCGCCATGCCGCACAAGCTGCAGCGCCCGGCCGAGCACCGGTTTTTTTCTCCCTAGCCCCCTCTCCAAACAGGGGAGCATCCGGCCGCCAGGCAGTGGAAAGACGGGGGAAGAAAGCAGGAAGAAAGCGGGGAGAAAGCAGGAAGAAAGCGGGGAGAAAGCGGGGAGCACGAAGGAGGAAAGCGCGCCCACCTGGTCGTGCGACCCAGTCATGTACTTGATGCACTGGGTGGGGCTCTCGAAGCCAAAGTGCACCCCCATGGCGGTGCGCAGGCGGGGCAGGTCCCACCTGCAGGCGGCGGCGGCGGCGGCGGCGGGAGAAGGGAGCGTGGGGCAGGCGCGGCGGGCGCAGCGCTGCACGGGCGCGGACTGCCATCTCCGTGCCCCCAAAATCAAACCGAGCAGACACACCCCAAGTGCAGGCAGAGCCTCCACTGTCCCCACCACAACGACACAAGCCCACATAAGCCCTCCTGCCTGCCATCGCCACCAAGCACCACAGCCGACACACCCAAAACGCACCCCCACCCCACCCCACCCCACCCACCCGTCTGCGTAGTCTCCGCCGCCGTGGTGGCCGC